GGAGAAGCAAATGGAGTGGGATAGGAAGTTGGAGAGCGTTGAGGGAGGTGAAAAGGGGGAGGAAGAAAGCGAAGGTTGAGAGATTTTGAGGGGCGTTTCCTCCATGGAAGCGGAGTATTGGAAATTGAGGAAGGAGAAGAATGAGAGAGGGGAAATGGAGAGTGCTTGAGAAGGGTTGAGGAGAAATTACAAGTGGAGACCGCCATTAGAGACTCCCTCGCAGTGCTTCCTGCAACTGCAACTGCAACTCAACAGGATAGGAGAACGTTGCTTGCTACCGAGTGTCGAGGATAAAAAGCCAACATACCGTTAACCAAAAAACGGCGTCGTGTCACAGAAGTAGCAACTACCTGCTCCCGTCTTAGTTAACCAACTAAAACTGTGTTTACCCTTACTTTTACGATAAACCTGTAAGAAATACGTGCACTGTATCGTGGTCATGTTCATGCCTGCCACGAGCAAAAGGATTTAGAATGTACTATAGGAGGTATATGGGTCACTTCCTACCTTTTGTAATCTTATCTAGCGGCTGTCTATTCTCACATTCAATCATACAACAAGCTTTTTAAAATGTTTTCCAACGTTTTCTAAAATATTTTCTCTAACCTCATTTTCTAAAACCGTTTTCTCAAGAATGGAGATGGAGATTGCAAGATACAGTCGTTGTGCCAACAATCTTGTTTTGAGTTGGCTTACTTGCTTGTTGGTCGCTTCGTGTGAGTCTTTTGAAATTGCAATTGTGACATGATCAGGTGATACTTCATAATTTTACTTTAAAATATTAAAAATATAAAAATTAAATAAATAATTAACAAATTTTAATATAATTTAACTATTTTCTCTCTCCATGTTTACATCACCAACATTTTCATATTTTCCTTCTAGGGACAATGGTACGTCAAGAGGTTTATTTATTATTATTGATGTGTAAATTTGGTTGGGTTGGTTGACCAAATATCGCACCAAAGAGACTCGACGTTGACCTGCAAGACAGAGAAAACTGAACATTGATGTGGTGTTAGCTGCATACACTCTAATGCTAAAGTTAGAGTAAGGTTTTTTGTGTACTTCTAAGGTCGAGTCTTCTCTTCTATTCTTAGGAATAAAATTTTATTCTCTTTAGGAAATCAAATTGCTTTACGAATAGCTTGGGCTTAGTATCATTGTAGGTCGGACGCATAGAGGAAAGACAGTCGGCCCGTCACTAAACTTCATCGACTGGGAACGTGGCCTATTCCTCAGGATGCTGGATGACACCAACCGAGACCTGGTCGGCTGACCATTAGGTCCTGGTTGGATGGGCTCCATGCTACTACTCGTTCGTCGGGCTTCTGGGTTTTCGTTCTTGTTTCTTCTAATTCGGGTCCATGTTGTATTTCTCCCTTGCTTGTGGGCTTCTTTCACCTTAAGTGGGCCCGTAGCTTGCTTGTCATGTCCAACTTTTATTTTTTTTCATAACAGTAGCCTCACTCTCTAAGTAGGAGATTTGTTTAAAATGAGTCTTCTCCTTTTAGAATATTTGTCGTATTTGTCGCTTGATTTAATTTACTTTGAAAACAGTGGTGCTTATGGACCAATCATTCTTGTCTGCCATTCTTGGTTGGTCATTTATAGTATGCTATTCTTGCTCTGTTATCCTTTGTCGATCATACGTTACTTGCCTTCTAGTTGCATTGATCTCGATTGGCCTAATGACTTGTTGGCAGATGGAAGAGCATAATAATTGGATATTTATTTGCGAACGGTAGATCTAAAAGGTTGCTACAATTGGTTCTTCTAGGTGACTACCTGGTCTAGAGGCTGCTTGACTTTAGTTCTCCTTCTTTATTCTCGGCCTCAAATTGGTGCTTGTACTGGGTGTCAAGGTCATTGACCTAATGGACGCGGACCTTCCTTCTCATCATCATAGCACTCATTCTTCCGCTCCTTTTCCTACTTCTTGTCACACTACTTGTATTAATGGTTGTTCTACATCTGCATCCTTTCAAGTTAACCCAAATCCATCGTTAGACTTTTTTACTTTCCTGCTACTTATCTTGAACAAGCTTTCCAACTATGGCGAGGACTTTTAGAGATTCCCTTTTATGGGGATTCAAGGTTTTTTGACACCTATATTTAGGTGTCAATTCATGTTTACTCGTGCTTCAACAAAATTGCACTCTATGGTAGAACAGAACCGGATAAGAGGTGGGATAGATGAGATATAGCAGCAAGTCGGCCTCTGGTCCGTCAAGACTTGGTCACCAACGATTGGGTTGGCCGAGACCTAGTAGGCTAGGCACGAGATCATGGTTGGTCAGGCCTCGTGATGTTGTTTGTTTGTTTGGCCTCTCGTTATCTGCTATTCTTTCCTCTAACTTGGGCCTATCTCCAATTTTCTCTCTACTTGTGAGGTTGTATCTCGTTTCATTTATCTTAGTTGAACCTTCGTGAGTTTGTTTTAACTGGCTTGATCTCTTACTAGTTTCTAACACCCCTTGCACTCTTGCTTTTGTCGTATTTAGCTTTTAATCAAGTGTCTTAGGCTCTATGAACTGGCTGGGTATATTCGCTTGTTTTCAGATTCACGGTCCTTGGGTTTTAACTAGCTTAGGCTCATTTGTTTGCCGTTTTTAGCACCTTTGGATTTCTATTGACTAGTTGGGCTCATTTGCCTTTGATCTTTTATACCCTTGGTTTCACCGACTGACTTAGCTTGTTTGCCTACTTTCGATTTTATACCCTTTTGAGTTTCTTAATTAGCTTTGTGGAACTGTAATCCCTTACTTGATTCCCACTTGAGGAGTCAGTATTTTTTAGAACATATAAGAAAAAACTATTCAAGTACATAGAGAAAAGAAATGATTCAACTTAAGAAATCAAAATTAACATAACCAGAAATATTCAAATAACAAGCTACAAATCGAACCTATCTAAGACTGCAGAAGAAAAGAAAACAAACTTTAAACTCAACTATTCGGCATTGTTGCTTTTAAAGCGGTGTAGTAGCATTCTCGTGACACTCGTTGCTTTTCTTTATTATACTCTGTCCGATTATTCCTCATCAGAGCCTTGATTTAAGTGAAGCAATTCCCCTGCACTTATGTACCTTTGTGCTCGGCTCACTACCTCAGCAAAAGTAGTCGGTGTCTTCGTTCCCAACAACCACAAAAACCATCTTTCACATCGGACATGAAGGAGGTAAATGATATTCCATCTGTTGTCTCTTGACTTGTAGCTTCTCATCGTTGAGTCGCGCCACATAGGCTTTCAACAGGCTTCTGTTTGATGGTAAGGAGGTGTTGTACAGGTCGTCTCTAGTTCCGTCGTCCAACAAACTGTATTACAAATGTTTTTGTTAGTTCTTTGAAAGATGAGGTTGATTTCTTTCTCAACTGCTAGAACCAAATCTACCTTGATCCTATTAATGTGAAAGAAAATACTCAACATTGAATGACATCAGCGTCTTCCTAGATGTCTATCCACTCTCTATTTGCATCGAAATGATCGACCAGATCTGTTGAACTGTCATACTACTTGATGATTGACAGCTTAAATTTTGGAGGGATTTCTTTTTTCATGACCTGTACTGTGAATGGTGAATCTACTTGCTCTACCATCTCTTATAGGCCGCATGCGTTCTCACCTTGACTTTTCTTAGGGATTCTGAATTCATCCTTCTTCTCTAGTTTGTTCGAATGTGACTTCTCGCGTTTGTCAACAAGTGTTTCCCTTAGATCCTGTCAACTATGTTTGTTGCTTTCACCTTTGCTGCATGAAACCGACCTTCGATGTTGCTCACTCCTTGGACCCAGCCAGCTGAATACTTTGTCTCTGGTTTGTGGCTTGTCGTTCCTGCCTATCTTTAGTTTGCTTGGGTTTGACGGGTTAGTCCTGGATTTAGCAATATTGTCGATCACTGGGGTTTTGTCTTTTACTTGATCTTGGATCAATGGGGGTTGCCTCGAATCCTGTTGTTGCAATGTGTTCAGAATGAGGGATAATTCCAAAGCAGTCAATTTATCTCATTGTCGCTTCTCGTTCTTGAGCACGCTACTCTTTCTTATTTTGGGATAAGTCAACTCATTTTACCTATAATTTTGATGGGTAGGACCAATTCTCGGCTCACCTTCTCCTTGGATGAGAGTCGTCATTCGAGCCTTCTTTTTCTTCATGTTGATTGCTCGTTCCAGTATTCATAGTTGATCGTGAAGGGATCAGATCCCGTAGTGGAAGCACGCGAATGCGTGTGCGTCGATCTTGTTTTAGAATTACAACAAAGAAAAGACATTAGCATAAATAAACGAAAGTTAGTGCAACATCCCTTTAAAGACACTTCTTCAATGTAGACACTAACGCCACTAAAAGACCTTCATTGCTATCCTCTGGATGTCAAGAACTCCGTTTGTGGGAACCGTCTTATAATTGAGAGGGAAATTGAGAACTCGAGAGAGAAATTTTCTCGTTGGAGTTTCAAAAACTCATTCCACCAACGTTCAAGCTACCGAAAAAAACTGGGAGAACCTCCCTTTTAAGGGGGAGGAGGAGCGAGGGGAAAACCACCACTTCCCTACTCACTTCCTCACTCCCCACCATTAAAGGAACCTCCCACCGGTGGGAATTGGGAGGTTTTCCTCCTATTTTCTTTTTTTTCCCTTTTATTTTAATTAAAAAAATTTTAATTAAAATAATAATTAATTTAATTTAATTTAATTAATTAAAAAAGAATTATTAATTTAATTTAATTAAATCTAATTTAATTTAACCAAATTGATGTATCACATTAATTTAATTAATTTAATTAAATCATATTCAATTAAACTAAACTTAAATTAATCAACTATATTATAATCACATTCTAATATTTGTCTCTCTCATAATTTTGAATCCAATTATAATGTATCGACATACATTATACTAATTGCATCTCATACAATTAACCTTAATTCCCTTTAATTAATTTGAACAATTCAAATTATTTTCAAGACTAAATATTCTTAACTATCATTTACGAGCTAGCAAGGGGACCTACAGATTGGAAGCTCCAACGGGTACGAGATTAATTGATTAAACTCATTAATCACATTAATCAAAATTCGTTAACTGTCGATCACTCCATTAAAGACCCACAGTTGCACTCTTCTCACTGTAGAATATTTTGCGTCCATAGATTTTGACCATTAATGGTAATTCAATCCTTCACGAGTGTTCGTAACCACAGTTGGGTCAAATGACCGTTTTAATCTTGTGTTACATCTTGTACCTTAAGTACCGCTGATTCTCTAATGAACAACCTGGT